TAGACATGTTCCTTTCAAAAACTGGGGTGGGTTCTTTAAGACTTCAACTAATACATTTTGCAAAAAAACAAGAATCACTATTTTTTAAGAAATTCTTGGTTTTTATGTTATTTCTACATTCCTAGTTTTGCCACATCACATTTATTGATCTATTTATTCATTCTAACTTTTCGGAGTTATGTCTAAAAGCATGTACAGAAACATACTGGGCAGAGTTTACATTTAAAAATATCGATAAAATCCACCAACATTTCAATGTTATTTTTTTTATATAAATATGTGTAATTCAACCTATTTATGTATAGCTGATTTACAATAAATACAATCTATATAGTCCCAAGACAAAATTAAAAAAAATCCAAACACCCACTGCCAAATAAATGTTACAACTGATTTGTGTTTGCATACACTTCCCTCACATTACGGTGAGTGAACTTCACAACATCTCGAACTGAAGCGTGTGAAAAATCCATCAGAATTAGCAACAGAGATCCTAGCTTTTCTTAATCTGATGGAGGACATTCATCCTGCCACTCCTCGTCTGTAATAGGGCCACATAATTACCAGCGGCTCCCCCAGAGCCTTGCCCAGTTCATACGCCTAGGGCTCTCATTACCCATAATGCTGCCTGGGCTGTTAAATATCAAACACCTCTTTGTGCTCGAGGCACTGACCGCCCCTCAGCCTGCGGCAGCCCCTCCGTGCTCGCACTGTGTGTGCTTGTGTGGGATTGCCTGCGTAAACGTGAAAACGCACAAGTGTGGATCAGTGATTAAACTAATCTTGTCCATAACAGGAAACCTCACTTAGGTGTAGATTTATGTTTTGCATCATCCTTGCTTCCTCTAAAATGATGGGCTTTGACTCACAAAGTCACATAAGAAAATGTTAACAATGTATCTAAAAATGTTGTTTCCGTCTGCAAATTTTAAATGCAGAACAAATTTGCTTAAACTCTTGAGACGATTAAAGAGGACAAAGACGACACAGTGAAGAGAAAATCATGGCCTTGACTATTTCATTTTATAAGCCTTCCAGATTTAACCAAAATATTGCCCCAGGAGAGGGAAAGAAAATTATATAAGCATTACTTGCATGGTCAATAACATTTCTTCTTTTAGCTGCATTTAAAAAAAAAAAAAAAAAAAACGTTATTCCTGTATACACTAACACTTGCCTTTAGGCAAATGTTTTAAAAAATAATGTTGGAGGAAAGCTTCTATTCAAATAAAAAATAAATCTCCATGATTAAAGAAAGAACATATCTAATGTTCAGCTTTTGTAAATATCATCTAGAGTTTTTAAAACTGGTGGCAAACATATTAGCATCTAAGCCAGTTTCACATTTCTATGTGATACTAAAGAGAGCAACTCTGATGAGCCAACAAATTAAAAGAAATTACATATGAACCCAGTATTGACCTTTAATTATGTGCCCAGTGATACATGATGCCGTGTGGCTAAAAGGTTCTGCGCTAATTGTCCTGTGGGCGTGTTTGTAAAGTTTCTCACACAGCATAAGCAATGCTCTCCAACTGTACATGTGACCACATAATGTAACACAAGCATGTCTGGAATTCATTAAAGCATGTGTAACTTCATGTGCTGCCAAATTACACTTTTTTTTCACACATACTAACACTAAACTATGTGATACGCACCTGCAAATGTATGCTTAGATTTTTATAAAGCTGAGGAACTTGGACAAATGTATGTTTTGTCTAATTAAGGGACCTTCAGCTGTTACATATCGGCTTCTCAATATGAGCTTGTCTGTTTTTTGTCTTATTACAAGTACAAATGTTAGTGTATTGAGTATAAATCCAACTGTTCTCTAGACATATCTATTCATCTGAAGACAGGTTAGCTTGGATAGCCTTATTAAGAGAAGCAGCCAAAAGGCCCTTGGTAATTTGGAGGACCTGCAGAGATTCACAGCTAAGGTGGGAGTTTGAGTCCACAGGACAACTATTGTCCTTTTAGTAGTCCATCTGCTGGCCTTCACAGAGAAGTGGCAACAAGAAAGCCTTTTTTTTTTAAAGAAATGTATTGTGTGTGGGTAGGTTAAGGAGCAGAGAGGCACCTAATCAGTGCTGTGCCTCTGTAGTTTATCACATCATTTACACACACAAACAGCTGTTAAATACAAAAAATCCACACCGTGGACAGTCTGTCACAGGGCAACACAGAGACAGACAGGACAAACTACCATGCACACACACTCACACCTAGGGACAATTTAGAGAAACCAATTAACCTGACAGCCATGTTTTTGGACTGTGGGAGGAAACCGGAGTACCTGGAGAGAACGCACACATGCACAGGGAGAACATGCAAACTCCATGCAGAAAGACCTCAGGCAGAGAATCAAACCCAGAACCTTCTTGCTGCAAGGCAACAGTGCTACCAACCTATAAAAATGCAATTTATACTATTATTCTTCACAAAAGTAGGGGGTTGTAGTTTTGAGGTGATTAAAGATAAAAGTAATCCGCAGAGGGAGATTATGTGAAATGCTTTATGTTGAAATTCAGTGATTTATTTCTTTGCTTGGTCATTAAAATATATTGCTTTATTGATCAAAGTAATCCTTATTTTATAATGTATAAAGATCCCCAAATAAAAAGCCCTCAATTGATAAAAAAAATCAGCCTGTTTTGAAAGATGTTTAAACCTACAGGGTTTTAGTTCCTTTTCCTTTTCTGTGCTTTTAATTTTATGCTTGTTTGCATCATTGCTTAATTTAAATTATACTTCTTGTTTCTCTTAATGTATTTAGCTTTCCATGGAGTGTTTTATGCTTTTACCAAGCAATTTTCTAATTCTGCAGTTTGATTTACTTGTGATTTTTATTTTGTGAAGTATTTGTACTTATTTCCTGCAGTTTGCTGATGTGAAACCGATGCACACACCTCTTAATGTCTCCCTAAATAGACTTCTTACATCAGAAAGTGCCTGCTGTTGTAAGACTGCAGGAGGATGCACACAGTAGCGATGTATATACAATAAAATATACTGATTTAAATCTTCATATCTTGAGCATAACTGGAAAATATATATGGCAGTGTTTGCCTGAATTGAATAAATCTGTTTCTGGTTTGACAAAGTAAAAGCAAAGGACCTTGATGCATATTTAATAATAACGCTGCTCAATAGTTTCCTTTTCACATTTGTTACACTGACAAAAGATACTTATATCTTAAATGTACCTGGCTGTCAGAACTTAAAAACATATTTTCACATTAAAAAGTGTTAAAACAAACAAACAAACAAAAACACTTGCGATTTTTTGTGAAATGTACATGTACACAAATATTATTATTATTATTATTATTATTATTATTATTATTATTATTATTATTATTATTATTATTATTATTATTATTATTATTATTATTAATGGGGACCATTTATTAAATTACAGAACTGTAAAAATTATACTTGATTGATTGGCATCACAAAAGATAATGATTATCAGATATGTATCTGATCACTTCACTGCTAAGTTTGACCACAACATAATTTGCGCTCCATGAATGCAGAAAAGAGACCTATGGATTTGTCAGAGCTAATGTTCAGCATTATGGCTTTGACTGACAGATCATTTTATCTGTACATCCAAATCTAATTAGAACAAAAAATAAAAAAATAAAAAAGCTAAATTATGCTTCATTAATCAGTTTAGAATAACTACTGAGAATAGTTTACAAAAACTAGTTTTCCTATGAGGAGGGATAAAAATACTTAGCAGCTGACGTACCAATTGATCACCATAATTAGTTACAATGAAGAACTCTCTGAGACTGAGGAAGTAATAAAGAGAGCCAGTAAAATTAGGCAAACTCTAAGGATTAATGTATAAAGGCTGTTTGCTCTCCAATAAAAGTCAGAAGACTTCTATATTTTAACCATAAATTATATTTATTTTCCTCCTATTCAAACTACTGTGCCTTTCTGCTTATGTAAAAAACAAACACTGTTATTGTCATTACGGTCATTGTTGATACTCAACAGCTGCACAAACGATGCCTCTCACAAGTATTTTCAGTTCACGCTACTGAAAAAGTAGCACAAAAACACCTCGAAGTCATGCAAAAGTCATTTTCCATGGCCTTTCTGAACTCCTCCCACGCTCATGTTTTTCCCTCAGAGACCACCCGCAAACCGCTTAGACTGCTGGTGCCCAACAGATGCTTCCAAAAAGACCCACAAGACCTACTTCTTCAGCCTGACACCATCCCTCAGCACCAGTGTTGAATTATTTTGTTAATACATTCTTATATAATGGACAGAAGATATCTGTGTTTATTCCGTACATGTGTAAAATCATGGCGATCAGATGAGTGCTGGATTTATGCTTTCAGCTATTGCAATTATTTAGAGTTATTAATAATCACAACTAAACTCGTATTGCTGCACAACACCAGTTGTGAATCGTTTCCCTCTTTGGGTCAACAGAGGTGTTTTCATTCTGTGTTTCTGGGATGAAGACTAAACAAGGCAAAGCAGCATTTAGTTTTTTATGCTCATCAACTCTCAAAACAGCTGACAAAAACACTTAAAAATAAAAATATACAGAAACTATAGGGGTCACAGCCGCAAACATCACTGTTATCATTTTTATTTATCATTTCTATCTTGTCTCTGTTTTTTCTTTGCTTTTAAAGTTTGATCTTTCTAGTGCCGTTTTGTTCATGTCTTACGTGTTTGATTTTCCCATCTCTAATGCTGTTCTTTCTGTAAAGCTTTTTTAAGATACTCTTTATAGCAAATAAACTTTATTTGCTTTTCTACCTTAATCCTCAAATGATGTGTTAATTTTTGGTTTGTGTGTTTGGTTTTTTTAAATAAATATTTACCCTGGGAAGAAAAGTCCTAATAGTCTTCGTATTTAATTTAAGTCATTTCTTTCTTTTGATTCATTTTTGATAAATTCACAAAACATTGGATATTATGCAACTTAAAGTAGCTGCTAGCTGGAAAATGGCAAAAACTCTTACCGTTATCCTCAACAGAGAAGTGAAAGACATCCGAAGTAGCATTTTCTTCAAACCTCAGTACATAGCAGATGTTCAGGTCATCGATATCAGCTGCAAAAGAAAGTTACGATTATTTCTGAAAACCTCCTTTATCTTGAAGAGCTCATGTGACAGTGAAACATCTTTAAAAGTAGGAACAGATAAACTTTGAGATCATATACGACAAAAGCTGAGATATTAAACTATAAAGCAAAAAACATTTGACAAGAACATAAAAGAATGCAAATGAGGGTCAGTTTAATCTAAATGGTTTCATGGTCGAATCAATGTGAGGTGAGGCATGATGAAATTTTAAAACCGTCTGATAGCTAAGGTCTAAATTACACAACTAGGAGATTTGTCCTTGACAGGAAATGGAAAAAAAAATATATAAAAATTTAAGAAAGAATTTGCATTTTGTGATTAAAAAAACACTGATGTGATGTTTCATGCTGACTGCAGAAATAGCCTCAAACAAGCTTTTGAAGTTGTGTCGCAGCCTTTTGGCTTGTTCAAACACTTCCTCCATTCAAATAACTGTTCAGAGACGCAAGCTGTCCCGCTTTAGTATCGGCTATACTAGCAGCAGGTCTCTAGTATCACACTGATTCAATTACTTATCAGTGCTCAGCATGAACAATTTCCAACCAGAGGAATCATTTTTGAAAGTCATGCATCCATAATCTGGAGCGATAAGGGCTGCAAACCTGATATCCAAAGAGGCTCAAGCTAAACCAAAGACAAGAAAAAAGGGTTTAAATTCAAGAGCCTTGAACTTGTCCATGTCAAAAAAAAAAAAAAATCAGGGGATAGTGGATCTTTTAATGACAGACAAGGTAAGAATGTTAAGAATAGGATTGCACAGGGCACCACACATCTGTTTCCTGAACTTTCCTGAATTACAGGGCTGTGCCAGCACGTCCCTCCCCACCATTCCCTACAAAACATCTATTATAGCACAGAGAAATCATCAATGCTGCTAAAGAGCCTTCTCCCAGCAAAGCTTCGTCTTAAATAATAGATGTCAGAGGAAGAAGGTTCATAACATAAAAGCCTTGACTTAAAACCCTTGACTTTTGACTGGGATGTTTACCACTTATACTGTAGGTGGCTTCTTGTCGGCTTTTTCCTTTCCATTGTTTTTATTAGTTTATGTATACAGAACCTTGAGTAAGTATTTGCCTCTTATATATCTTTTCTGATTTTACTTTTTGGTCAGATTTTAAGCCTTCAGATCATCAAGCAAATTAGCAAGAAGCTAGCCTAAACAACCTGGCCTTAATCGTAAATGTAATGAGCCTCTGGATTAATCACATTTTTTGTTTGGTTTGGCTGGCTAAACGGAATCCTCATTTGAAATGTGCATGTTTTATTCTTTCTTCTGAAGTTAAAATGTTCTTGATGATTTGAAATGTTACAGTGTGACAAAAAAAAAGAAAAAAAAGCAAGAAGTCAAAGAAATATGTACAGGGATAAATACTTTTAACAGAACTGTAAGTGATTATTCTGAAATATTTGGCCTGCAGGAAGAGAATCCTCCTTGCAGGACAGACCTGAACCTAAGGACCTTACAAATCTAAAGTTAACAGTGTGAACAGAGGGCACACTCTTCATTCATTATTTAAAAAGATCGTCTCTTGGGAAGTGCCCTGGAAAAAGGACAAGTAAATAAAGAGCAAAGGATTGTCTCTTTCACCTGACTGCTTCTTTTGATGAGCCTGTTTGGTCTCTCTGACTCAATCTCTCACGACCCTTCCCTCATTCTTTATTTCTCTCATGTCACTTACATCCCCTCACCCCGCTTCCCTAGCTGCCTCCTCTGCACTCTCCTTCCCCTCTTCAATGCCGTGCTGCTTCTTTTTCTTTTTTCACTCTTGTCTTATCTGCGTCCTTTTTTGTTTGGAAGATCGCAGCCGCAGACTGTTTGTAAGAAGTGTCCATCTCCTCCAGGCTTAAAGAGCTCTTTCTCGCTCTGTGTTCTCAGCTCATATCTTTGCTTACAGCAAGCAGGTGAATTTTTGTACATGTTGGTTTAGTTGCCGTGCCATGATGATTGCATTGCTTCAAACAGCAATCAGTGGCATTGTTGTCTCTGTGCATGTGTCAATACTTATCCATATTCAAATCTGCAGAGTTCCTTGGCAATGTCAGAACATTTTCAGGAATTAATACAAAACTTTACTCTGGATTCATAGCAAATATTTTTACAGTCAGTCTTCAGATAGGAAGGGAGGACGGAAAGCAGGAAGGACGTTTAAAAATAAATAAAAATAAAATCCAATATTTTCCCACACACCTGTTTCTTCTTCCCTATTTATCCAAACATGGAAAATGCAAAAATCATATTCTTCACATTAACATCGTTCTGCAGTCTGTGTAAAAAGTCAGACACTAACCAATGTGGTGGTGATCAATGCATTCTCTATAATTTTATAAGACATAGCATTTCAATACTTCAAACTGACTGGACCCAGTGAAACTACCTGAATTTACTGCATCTCCAATACCATCCTGTCATTTTGAGCTCTGCACTGACCTTTTCACACCATTCTCTACCTCTGTCCTGCTTCATTTAACAGACCTCCAAAGAGAACATCAGATGTGAACATCACCCCACGAGACGCAGAAAGAAAATTAATTATTCATCTGTTACGTCTACAAAAACATCAGCCTGTAACTTTGGTCTGTTAATTACGATTTGATGAGCAAGGCACATCCAAATCATACCCATAAATTAACTATTGAAATTCCCAAGCTGGCACTTGTCACACGTACGAATAATTATAACCCCATAAATTAAAATCTTTGGGAAGCAGAGTGTGAAAAATTAATCAAAACTTACTGATTTACAGGGAATTTGAATGTCACACTTTTTTCTTCAATAGCAAATCACAAGTTAGGAGGTTATAATTATTTGATCACAAAAACATGATGAAAAGCAACTTCTCTGAGCAAAGAAATATGACAATTATGCTCTTAAGGCACAGTTTTCAAACATTTTGTTTACAAATAATTTATGACAAATTACTAGCAGTAACAATTAGACATCTCTCTACCTACTGCTTGCCACTGCCAGTTAGCTGATTGAAAAGAGACTAAAATAACTGTCTCAATTACAGAAAAGACAAATTTGATTATTTTTGAAATTCTCTAAAAAACATCGACAGCCATGGAGTTATATCTCAAATAAATAACCAGTCAATGTCAGCTTCACAAACACTCAGCGTTATTATATAAAGTGTAGAGAAGCAAAAATTAATATTTTGCACATTAAGAATTTAATATGCAGTGTTTTCTCAAAACTGTTGCTATCAAAAGAAAGAGTAAATAAAAGATATTTGGTTTTCTGTTCTAATTAAAAGCAATGAGTTCACTTAATACTTTTACTGCGATAGTTTGAAACTTGGTATTTTTCCTTAAACCTTTCACGTTGTGAAAATGTCATGCCAGTCTATTGCTAGTATCAATATCTATAATGACAATAAACATTCAGACAGTTCTGTTAGAGCGAGGGGTCTTCAACCTGTTGTTAATAAGCCACATGACTCTTTAAGCACTGCTTCCATTCAGTTTTTACTGATATCCCAAAAATTTCAGTTTTGAGAAATTGGTTTGGAACAGGCAGCCACAATGACTTCTCATAACTTCGGTCAACAATAGTGTAGAAATGAACAATGTTTTGAAATTTAAAGGTATTTATACTTGTAGGCTTTTTGTATGCTTTATTGCAACATCTGTATAATATTCAGCAAAAGAATGTCAATAATTGTTCAGGGAATCAGTTTTTCATCCTTTGTCATTAAATTACAAACTAAATGTGTTATTTTCTTAAGTTTCTGAAGAAACTTAAGAACATTTCTAAGGAAACTGAAAAAGTCAGATGTTTATCCTTTTTCTAGATTCTAAAACGAGAGATACATTTGTGGTAGTATAACTGTAAAATAAATAAAAAAATTCAGCTTCTAGGTACTTATAAAACATGATAAGTTGTCCTTCCTTAAAGACTTGTTTAGGTTTTGCAGCTCTGAACAAACAATGGCAAAAATTGTTGGAAAGGTTGCCGATTCCCATGTTTGGTGCATGGGTAAACTTACGTACATAACAGATTCAATGTAAATTTAAATAAGTCTTTGTGCAACACTGACTTGATCAAACAAATTTCTGTTATACAATTATTGATAACTGGCACTGAGAGACTGCTTCTGTGCTTTTCTGGTAAAATACTGAGCAGAGTAACTTATTCAACTATTAAGAGTTATTGTCAGAGCTTACCTTGACTAAAGGCATCAATGGAGTTGTTTCCGTGTCCCAGGTTGACGATGTAGCCGTGTTTGGGCTGGGTAGTGATGTGGAACACCACCGAGGCCGGGATGCTGTCCCTGTCCTCCACTTTTAACACTTTCGGGCTGATGGGGAACCCCAAATGACCTGTGGCCAAAATCTTCAAAGTGGCTGCACCTTTATTTACCACAATCTGAGGGACGCCATTGTCTATTGCCATAATTGTAATCTTCATAGTCTGAGGACGTCTTGTCTCAAAAATTGTGTTGGGGAAAACATAGAAGTCTGTGTGTGTGCCATCAGTGACAGTGAAGGAGAATGAGTCTTCAAGTGTTTCAGTTCCATCGTGTTTGTAGCTGACGAGGTTTTCGTTGAGGTCTTGTTTTGTAAAGCTGGCAACAGGTGTGGACTGGTTGTACAGCACCTTGCCATGAACAGGCAACTGGGTTATTGTAAATTTAATCAATTTCTCAGCAGTGTCCTGATCTTCAGCAGTTAGCTCGAAGGGTGTGATTAATTTCAGTTGACCTTCAGTGACAATTAGGCCATTTATAGTCACGACGGGTTTCTTGTTATCTACATCCACAATAGATATTCTAAATGTTCTGAAAATGGGATTGTACCCATCTGTGACTTCAAACTCAAAACTGTCCATTTTTACCTCATCGTCAGAGGTGTGAATGTAAAAAATCTTGCTGCCTGCTAGCTGAAGTTGGGTAAAAGATCCAATGGGTATCCCAGGAGTGTCTGTGCACTCAAGGTGCCCCCTGACTGGGGCCCGTGTGACAGTAAAAACTAATTTCTCGTCAGGACTGTTGAGATCAGAGGTGCTTAGAAGATCTGTGGACAAAGTCACCCTGCCACCTTCTCTTAGAGACACACCTTTACTGATCACATCCGGGAATACGATGTCAACACTGCCCACAGTGATATAGAAGTAACGATCTATGAGTGAATTTATTCCATCGGTCACATCAAATTTGATTAAGTCTCTGAAGCCATCTTGTCCATTGTGTGTGTACAATATGAGTCCTACATCAATTTCAGATTGTGTGAAATTCATGCCAAGTGTGATGTTCTCAAGAAACCCGGATGGTGTTTTTCTCTGCAGGAGACCCTGGCCAGGTCCAAATCGGATTATATATGTTAGCGTGCTGTCTTCAGAATCTAAATCTGTTGCTTTGAGGACTTTATTATTAATCTCCTTCGTCTCTCCAACTTCCACCTCCAGGCCATCATTGACAGCCATCCTGGGGGTCTCATCATCAACAGGGATGATCATAATAACGGCTGTTTTCTGCACAGAATACTTTCCATCTGTCACAACGATATCAAAGCTGTCCTCCGTTGTCTCTGAGTCATCGTGCTCATAAATAATACTTGACGCCTCTCTAATCTCTTCTAAGGTGAAGTTAGACACCAAAACAGAGCCCGTGGATAGCTGATTTAAAATGGCACCATGTTTGGGAGGTTTGGAGATGATGAACATCAGCTCCTCAGGTGGAAAATCAGCATCTGCTCCATTCAGAATCGGAGGGTCGATGATAATGTTCATCCCCTCCATCACAACTATCTCCCTCAAATAAACCTCTGGCTTTTCATCATTTGTTGGGATGATTATGATTGGAAAGAAATGGTTCTCTGAGAAATTGATGCCATCAGAGCACCTAAACGTGAACCGATCCTCCACTGGCTCTACCCCCTTGTGAATGCTCTGCACATAGAAGATATTTCCCTCCCTTATGTCTCTTAGAGTAAATGCACTGATAGCTGTTCCTGACCTTGACTTCTCTGAGCCTGGAGCAGGGGATATATTTTCTACATAGCCTGCAATGGGCTGCACAATGACAGTGCAAAGGATGTCATCTGTTGGAGTGTCATTATCATCAGCGTTCAAGTGCTGAGAGCCAATACCATATTTCTCTCCTTCAATAACGCTGAACTGGAGCCCAACTCCAATCTCAGGGGCCTGATTGTCAACAGGCAGGACAGTGACTCGTATGTGGACTCCACTGACTATATTGCCCCCTACTGTCCAATCATCAGACATGTCTGTGAGGGTCAAATTAAATCCATCTTGCTGAGAGAAGAGACCTATCTCACCACCAGTGTGTGCATACATAACCTCCCCATTAATTATGTCAGCTTGTGTAAACCTTGCAGCAGGCACTCCTTTAACTAATATTTCCCCAAAGACTGGGGGATCTTCCACAATAAACATCAGCTGGAAATCATCAGTATCATCATCATGGCCTTGAATCACATTTGCTGTGATTTCTGCCACACCATTTTCCAGCACATCCATGTGAGACCCGATTGTTCCTGAGGGGAGGCTGATGGAGGGAGTTTCATCATCAATGGGCTTTACAATAACTTTAACTGTCACAGTCACAACATGCACCCCATCACTGACATCAAGCTGAAAATCATCGCTCACTGTCTCCTCCCCGCTGTGAATATATGATATTTTCCCCTCTGAGATATCATCAAGTTTGAAAATCCTGTTTTTCTCCAGGTCAGTGAACGCAGCCTTAATCTGGCCATGTTTAGGTGGTCGACTCAGAGCAAAAGTTATCTTTTCGCTTTCTGTATCAAGGTCTTGGGCATCCAGCTCTGCAGCGGTCATAATGTGCATTCCGCCTTCAAACACGGTAAAACCGGTGTTTGTGATTTGCGGAGGGTTGTTATTGACTGGCTGCAAAAAGACTGTGAACACCCCCTCTACGCTGTTCCCTGCCGTGTCTTCGACGGTGTAACGGAACTGTACGACGTGGGCCGTGATTCCCAGTTCCATGTTTGGCGGCGCGTAGGATATCTTATGATGGTTTATTTGAGCTTGTGTAAACTCTGCCACTTCAGAATCAGGACGATCTGTCAACACTAATGATCCAAATACAATGGGGTTATTTTCATCTGTATCGGTTGGAGCCTGGATGAGTGTATATTTAAGGTCACGATCCTCTGAGTCCACATCAGTGTAACGGAGGACCTCTTTAGTGAATTGAGTGAGTTCATACTCCTCAACAGTCATCTGCAGGGTAGTGCCGGGGTACAGCTCAGGGGACACATCATCAATCGGCAAAACACGAATTACAAATATACTATCTCCAGATAAATTAGGTGGGTCATTGTCGTCCTGAACAGTGAACAAAAACTGATCCATGATTGTTTCTATGCTGTGGGGGCCTGTGTGCCTGTAAAACAACTTTCCATCTGTGATGTCTTTCTGAAGCCATTCTGTCACCTCCTTCTCATACATTTCATCCTCAGCATTAAATTTCCAAGAGGAGGGGTCCTCCGGGGCGTCTGACTGTCGCAGGAGAACTGTGCCGATTGTGGAAAAAGGGGGAATAATGGTAAATTTAATTGTTGAGTCTTCAGAGTCAATATCAGCAGCACTGAGCACGAGAGGCGATATGGCAATCGTTTGGTGTTTGAAAAGCACCAGACCCATGTTTGCATTGATGATTGGCGACTCGTCATCGGTGGGGACAATAGTGATGGGAAAGAGAAATTCAACTTCATTTTTCCCATCTGTCATCTTGAAGACAATATTGTCACTGTATGTGTCGCTGCCATCATGCTGATAGATAACAGCCCCCGTTGTGAGGTCAGCAGGTGTGAAAGATTTTCTCTGAGAGCCCAGCACCATGAGCCCCCCGTGCCGTAAGCCGTCCACCACTGTGACTGTGACAGAGTCCAGGTTGTCCTCGTCGCTGATCTCCAAGTTGTGTGTGCTGATGAGAGGCCGTGACTGGCCCTCGTACAGCAGCTGACCCGTGTTACGTGTCACAACAGGGGCCAGAGTGTTCATCGGCTTCACAACAATCATAAAAGCAAAAGGGTCAGAGACAGCCCCCTCCGTGTCTATCACCTCAAACTCCAGCTGAAAAATCCTTTCTGTGTCCGAGTCCAGAGAGGGTGGAACATAAGCTATTTTCAAATCCTGCAAGTCTTTCTGGTAGAAGGAGGTGATTGGGAGGTTTCTGTCATCTGTGCTGACTATGTAACCCTCTTCATAAGATAAGGGAGAACTGATGTTAAAAATAAGCTCTTCTGGGTCTGACTCTGCATCCTCAGCAGCCAGCATGTCAGGGGTGAGGGCTGTCATCACAAACTGGCTCACCTCCATCATCATCATGGTTACAAAGCTGGGTTTGGGGGGAGTGTTCTCCTCTCCATCTCTGATGCGAACCATAAGATGAAAATACTCCTGCTTCACCAGGTTCCCTTCTTTATCGTGGAGTTCTGCAACCATAGGAACATAATCCCTGTTTGGAGATTTGCGATTAAACGTGTGCTCGTACCGTATTTCCGCTTGTATGAATTCGTCACAGTCCATCACAGTGGAAAGTTTACCTCCATCAATGAGTTTTCCATATCTGGGCAGTGTGCTGACGCCGGATAAGGATGCCACTTCGCATTTGTAATTCACTCTATCATAAGTAAACTCTAATATCTTCATATCGATAGGATTACTAATCCCTTTAAGACGATCAACAGTGAGTGGCACGTTTTTGGTGAGTAACTCCAGCTGCGTAAAAACTACTTCCACCTCCATCATGAACGGGATAATAACAGTTTCGGTTTGAGCGTCATACCTGAGCTGCAGCCGCACTCTGTCCCTGGCCGGACTCCTGGAGCCATAGTGAGAATATGTCACGTCGCTCGGGCCAAAATCACATGGAAACTTTTTGGGAGAGAGGTGCCCAGGTCTCTGTGTGAGCGGGTCGTCGTCCAGCACGGTGATGCTGCACCGGTCTCCCGGCTGCGTCTGAACCACCAGGTCGTTGATGGGGTCGATGAAGACCGATCTTCCGAAAGGCACGCGTATTCCGTTGTTGGCCACCAGGATTGCGTCCTCCGACAGCTCGGACCGGAGCGCGTAAAATAACCCGGAGCTGTTGGGCTGCGCTAAAACAAAACCTGTTACTGAAAAGCACAGGAGAAGTCCGCGGAGCAGCATCTTCGCGTCCGAAAACAGCGACGCTGTCAATGTGCTGCCGTTGCAGTGCCCACCCAGGCTGTTGCACTCGAAAAGAATCAAATCCCAAGAAATGATGGGAGTCAGATGGATGTGACTCCCGCACATCTATCCGTCCGAAGCATCCACATACTCAGCCTGCACAGCGCACAAGAGTTTTAACTTCATGCTCCAGAGAAGGACTGGCTGAGCTGCTCCCGCCCATCCCCGCACATATTGGAGGATTTCTGAAGGCTTGTGGGCTCACCAGCATCGCCAATGGGCACTACACTTGACAGTCACCAAAAGAGGCTGGATTAGGAAGATGAGCTGAATTCCTTCCAACGGATATAATTGACTTGGCACAACACCCATTATCGGCTTTGTCCAGGTACAAGCACTTTGCGAAGTGATAAGATAAAATATGACATATCACAATGAAGGTGTTTTCAGTTGTATTTTGCAAAACACAGACACCTTATGTACAATGATCAGTTAGACTTTTACTTTAAATCAATGGTGCATGTCCCCTCTTATCAAAACGGATTGAATTCTACACTGTAAAAACAGTTTTAACAAATTTATTAAGTTAACATGCTCAATACTACAATGTTCTTAACTCTGATGTTTTGAGTGAGCTCTTTTTTGTGTTTCTTCGTTTCTTTCTTTCTAACTTTCTTTTTTCCTCTCTTTCTTTTTTCTTCCTTTATATGGTTATAGAAACAACTGGTTGTGCTCTAATGAACCAAATATTCTAGGTTTTGCCAGGTTTCTTTACTTTTTTATCATGCCATTGTTTCAATATGAGGATAGCTGATCTGAGAGATAATATTGTGCTTGAGCTATAAACCTAGAACAATGCCATTTAGCAAGGCTATGTTTATCAGTAAATGTATTTTACTTGAAGGGGTGGTATGATGTATTTTCCAGCCACAATGAGCCTTTTTATAGCAAAATCAAGTAATTATTTTACCTTCAGTTGTTAAAAAACGTTGTGTATATTATTCCCCTCCTTTAACTGTCACCCCAAAACATGTAAATCAATGGCTCTACAAAGACACCCATATTCTAATAGTTAAGAGATGAGTTAACAAAATTGGCTGACTTGTGGCAACGAATGTCCTCAGATGATTTCAGTCACATGTGTCAAACTCAAGGCCCACAGGCCAAATGTGGCTCGTCATAACTATTTCTGAGGGCACAGTTGGTAGAATTAGTCAGTCTATATTTGAATAATCAAATAGAAGAGCAGCTAGAAAAGTAGCAGCTGCACAATTAATCAACATTTCAAAAACAACAGGAAAACAGCATGTTTTAAACTTTCACAAACTTTATAGCATATTCAGACTGATTGATGCCAAATATTTGCAATTAGAAGGAATATAATTTTACACCTGCATCATTGTCATTGGTGCACATAAACAATTTTTGGTGGATACAGAGGATTCCCTCTTTCACAACAGATACATCTACTTGGTCTTCTTTGGCTAGAAAAGTATGACCAACAAGAGCCTCATCTCACTCTTTCATGAAGTCATATAGTTTATCCTCCATGTCGGAGCGAATCAATAAGTAATAGTTTGTGAATAGTTTTCATTGTCATCCATACAACACAAATAAACACTTAATCAGACAAGCATTTCCATATAAATTCTGTTCAGATCATTATACATTACCAAATAAAGCCAGAGAACACTATAAAATGTACAACTTTATCAGACATAAAGTTTGATTTAAAAGTTAAAGCTGAGGCTCATATTCGATTCTCCCAAAATCTCCTTTTTGTAGTGTCTGTTCTCATATCCTCATGTTACCTGCTGAAGGGTTTGGCAATCTGTGCATTCCTGGCTTCACCTAAATAAGAAATGCTTTACCTAATCAAAAGTGTCTCTTTAACAGTCTGCTGTTAGGAAATAGGAACAGTATAGACATCACTTTCTTATGGAGTCTAGAACATATAAGTATTCATATTATTGCTTTAAAACATGCATTCGGTCCTTATTTTGTCTATAAACTCATACATATATGAAACTTGATGGAGTGTAATTTGAGCTGTGCACCCAATGACAAGAAGATGACCGTCACCTCCCCGGCTCTCTCTAACTTCTGCATACCTCAGTTGGGAGACCATCAAACTACCATGTGAGAGACCGGGGTTTGAATCCTGCAAGAAATTGCACACATTTATTATATAAGAAAAATATTAGTGTATAGTTATTTGAAATACTTTGATATGAACCATTACCTAATTACAGTGTCATCAGTCTGTTTTCAGTTTAAGCTTAATATGCCTCTCTTCATTGTTCATCTGTGAATCTCTGTAGAAACTAACAGTGTGAATGTCATCTATTCATATATGGATTTATTCCCTTTTTTCTTTAGCTGTTTGTTCTGAAGTGTTCAGTATTGTTGGCCTCTAAATATCGCTGACCGTCCCTCAAGGAGCATAAGAGCGCAGTTACAACCTCACCAGGCTAACAATTTTTTTCTTGTTTTGTTTATGTATAAATCCTAAATTCTCCAAACTGTTGCTGTAAACAACAATGTTGGCATGTAGAACAAATAATTAGCTTTCATGAAAACAAAAATGGAAAAGTGGAGGCTGTTGGTCAAGAAAGAAGAAGACATTTTGCCTAACCTCCTTTCTGGCACTATATGATAACTTGAGTCATTTCTAACATTTATAAACCTTTCTGTGGAAGGAAGAGTTAACATCACACCCAGTAAAGCATTATGTTTCCATTCAGAAAGATTTACCTAAATAAGTTTTGTCCACAAAGTATGTAGTACATTTCTGTAAGTGGTGCAGTCTTTCACTGCAGTTTTTTTTTTTTTTTTATATGTATGTATTTAATATCTGAACCAATTTGGTGTTATTCCTTTGGATGTGTCAGTTATTTGAGTTGCTGCCAACGTCTGGTGTGCATTTCATGTCAAAAGAAGAATTAGAAATATATTGACAGAAAGAACACATTGATGGGTCCAGCCCATATTTTACCCAGCTGGTAATGTAAAGGGGCATCTCAGAAGGTTCAATCTTCATTAGTTATCCATGAGAGAAGAAGCCTCATTTGCTGATGAAAGGCTATTTATAACCTTTCACTCCTTAACTTTTATGAGTCAATTTTCTGCAAAGAGTTTTTCATTGCTCAATAATCTTACAGGTTTCCAACATGAAAATTTGAAAATGTCCAAACTCACGAGTAAGACAGCCTCAATGTTAAATGTAACCCTTAGCAGTGTTTGTAGCCACAGTCAATTTTCCATTCTCCTTCTCTACATTTAGAATGCGTGGTGATTAGAGGGCGTCCAGAGGCATGTTATTTTGAAACACAAAGACCAGCCTTATTTTTTTTTCCAGCTGTTTATGCCTGAAATCCATAAAGACATTCTTCTTGTGATTTTACAAGAGAAAAACATCTATGCATGTATGACATTGATGCAAATCCATAAGTTAGATTGCATTGAATATCAACACCTGAGGACAGTCACAAGATAAGTTAGACAAAATTAGAGATCCCTGTGCATTTTCTTCTGCGAATAATTGTTTACAGCTTTATTATTTTTCAAAGAAAACTAAGATGAAATAATGCACAGATTTTTCATTGATGAGCACCTGTTTGTGTAATTTCCATCATTCTGACCCTCTGGTCAGACAGATGCTTCTTCTGTTCCCATGTGACCAATTAGCACTCAAACTCTGGTTAATCCCTGCAGCTCTCTATCACCCAACAGGTACAATAGAAGTTTTGGAAAGCTCAGCCGCATATTTATGGCACATTCTCACAGCGCAGGATATAGGGTTCCCTCTGCGCAGCAGCTGCTATGCCGTGATAAGGCCCCACGTGGAGACTTTGAGGTCTGAGACTACACGGCTCAGTGAAAAATTCAAAACTGCCAACTAATGACATTGTAAGGGTCAGGTGTACAAAAAAATGGTTGCATTTGCATAAAACCTTGGTATGTATGCCATGAGTTACTAAAACATTTTCTATGGACTCAAGCATTTAAAATAGAAGCTTTTTGTGATAATTTGAGGAGCAGAGCCACAGAAACACACCAAAATATTTGCACTTAATTGGATTTTATGTTCTAGTTACTATGGTCAACTTAAAGGAGGATTGTAAACTGTTGAATGAATCAAGACAGTTTACTGTATCACATGGTAAGAAAATATTATGACTATGTCTTTAACATATGCATAACAATTACAAAAAAAATAAAAAATAGAGGACACACAGATGAGCCACAAAAGTATAACAACACACAAATTGTAGTTCATAGACCTTGAATAGAAACTCAATATAACTTCTGTTGTAGTGATTCAAAATGAATCCTATCAGTTATGTACACAAGAATATATTTACAGTGATTTTCAAAGTATTCATGCTCCTTGTTTTTACATTCAGCGAATCTGAGTGGGGCAAAGAAAGCAACTGATGAAAAAAAAAACCAAAAAAAAAAAAAAAAAAAAAAGTCCTTTCCCCAGTTTGACACAAACCATGTAGGGGTCACAGCACTCATCTTTCAAGTGGTGCTCTGGTCAGATGAGAGCACAATAAAACTATCACTGCATTCCACACTGCACACACAATTTTCCTGATGAAACATGGTGTTGGCAGCATCATGATGTGGAATTACTTTTCTTTAACTGTTCAGCAGGAGTTAACAGGAATTTTGATCGGGGCTGTAAAAGGGCCAATCCTGGAAGACAACCTTTTACAGGCTGCAAACAACAAAAAAAATAATCACAGCCAAATCTTCAAATTGGATGACTTAGTTGAAATTATATTCAGGTGCTAAAAATGGCCCATAGAGACTTCATATCTGAATTCAAATGAGTATCTAAAATTGGAAAGATTATGTCTATAGACACTTCTCTATCCAGTCTGACTGAAAAAGTAAAACAAGTGCAGTCTCTTGATTTACAAAGCTAATAATGCATAACGCTTGCAGCTGCAATCGCAGCAGTGTTTGCCACAATTTCCAGGTTTTTGTAAAATAAGTTGAAAGTCATGTCTCATTTTCTTCCTACTTCAGAAACGGCACTTTATATGAAAAATGTTTGCCAAAGGCAAGAAAATACTTTGGCATTTTTGTACTTCAATAGGAAAATTAAAATGCTGTAAAGTAACATCCAGGAAACAAAAAATCTTTCCTGGCATTTTGTCTTAAAAGCACCACTTTGAGACATTTTATTTAAAACCCCTGTGGCACAATGAAGCTAAAATCCTTCTCTACATCACCAGGACTTGAACTAATATAACATATTCATTTGAGTTTGACTATAAAATCTACTGAAAGTGTCAAATTAAACATGTAAAAGCAAAAATAGCACAGAGCAAGGCAGCATTTTATTAGACTTGAATTACTGTGTGGAGATAGGGAGTAACACAAAAGCGCACTATGATGTACATTAGGAAAGGGCAATAGTAATTCTCATAAAGAAGAATACTCTGAGCATAGATATTCAATGTTTTTCAAGTAAAATGTGCTGAAATAGTTTGATCTAGTCAAATCCAGAAATGCTCAAATAACATACTTGGCAAAACAATAAAAAATACAACCTGATGTTA